TTAAAAAGAATATAAAGTTATTATTCTTACAACACAGACAAAAGGAATGCAGCAATTCTATGTACTGATTCCCAACATGGAGCTTCTTGGCTTTGTAGAGTAGAACTTCTCTTTTGCCTAGCTCTAGAATACTCTGGTATGTACAATCATCTTTCTGGGAAAGAGTGGCTGAAATTGTGATATAAAACAACATTGCTTTTGAAAACTGATTTACACCACTTAAAAGACATGGAATGTTGGTAATCTAAAACACATACAACAAAAAAAATCCATATTTTTCACTGTGCATGCAATCTCATATATGAATCATACTTTCTTATATTTTTCACTGTGAAAAATATGAGAAAGACAAGGCTGAATGCATTCCAGAAAAATTTTAATACTGGTTCCATTCAGCATGCTTCAGATTAGGTTTGTTACTGATATAGCACAAGAAATGCTAGCAGAAGTCAGGCAGATTAAATGCCAAACAAGTACTTAATGAATTAGATTGATGAAAAACTAGCTAGACTGTGTGTCTGTCTTGGGTTGTGCAGCAACACATGAGAGATAAATGTCATTATTCTTGATGTGAATTGGAGGTCTGAAGAGCAGCCTTCTGCTGCAGCTTTCTGCTGGTCCTTTGAAATGCTTCTCTTCCATCAAATAGTAAAATGTCAGGCCTAAAGAACACAGTTGGTATCAAAATCATATAAAGTAGATAGGTGACCCAAGTATGGATTTCAAAATCAGTCTATTGTTTTAATGCAAGATATGTGGGGGGTGGTGTGAGATTACTAATGACACCAGAGTACTGGCCTTGCTTCAACAGTCAAGACACAGATAAGGAGACTCAGAGATAAGTGAATAAATTCATTGTGTTAATACATAGCAGAGTTTAGTAATCAACAATCAAATTACACCCATACATTTGCATAAATGGGTAAAAATACCTCTATTTTAATTATTAAAAGCTGATTACAAAATGTCCAAACTAATGATGCAAATTATATTCCAGTGGCCATTTTTCTACCCAGCCCTCTTATTCTAAATTCAGTATAAGGAGGTGGAGTTTAGCCCTTGTCTAAAGTGATGCATGTCTAAAATGAAAAATGTATGCTCAATTTTCTTTGCTTCACGTCTGCCCCCAGAATGCTGAAACTGGTTTTCTCTTTCTTCCATATCACTCTACATATTGCCAATATCTAGAACTCAGAAATGTACTAGATGAGTTGATTTAATTGATTTAGATTTTTTTTTTTTAATTCCAGGTTTATTTTCCTTGATGCACATTTCTACAGCTATAAGGTTGTCCATAGAATCACTTTCATAAACATCTGCTATAGAAGTTTTACTCCTCCAGGACATTGGGACTAAACCAAGTGTTCAACTCATCTGAGGAATTTAAATAACAAAATAAATGCTTTGCAAGTTCAGTTTCAGAGAGTGATATCTAGAACAATAGGACACTTAGGAACCAAGGAACAAAACAATCAAAAAAATATGTGATTATTTCCAAAGAAGCAGTTCAGAATTCTTCATCAGTTTATAACTTATAAGAAACTTATCTGGACAAGAAAATTTAGCTCCACTGGTTTCATACTAACAAATAAAAATTTCTCTGTTGACATAGACGCAGTTATTTCTCCTGTATCTGCAGTATGGTAGAAAGAAGCAGCATCTCTTGAGACTGTAATAATGTAAAAAACCTTAATACTGAGTAACCTGAATGCTTCTATTTTCATATATACTTTTAAGGGGTTTAACCTTTCTCTGAGTAGGAGTGTTTACAAAATGTCATTCTGAGTCAGAGCACACTTCTGCTTGCTCCTAAAGTTTCAACAGATGAGCACTGAAATTAAGTGCAAATAGGAGCACAAACATAGCAAGATACATTAACGTGGACCACACAAGCTCCCTCTGGGCTGTGTATTTTCATACTTTGTGAACAGAATACGGTTGTACATGTTGGCTGGACACAGATACCCCCACATGCACAGTATTTCTTCTTTACTGCCTCTTAAGAAGTGATGATTACCTGATTTTACCTTATTTTCCTTCACATACATAAACCCAGATGCAGAGGGAGAGCTGCACCTTTCTAAATATATTGCTTTTTGAGAGTTTCTCTGGCAGCTTTAAACACTGCTGGCAGGCCTAATTTACAGTCTGAGAGCCTCCTCTGAGGACACAGCTCGACATACAACCTATAAGATTCATGTAGAAAAGTATTTTAACCCCTATACAAAGTCCTGTAGAGCTTGCAGATCTGAAACAATTTTAAGAATTAAAATACTATCCTGCATAGTATACTGAAAGTTAATTTTCTATGTGAGAGAAATCGTGAACTTTACAAATACTATGATCTATAGCACTAAAGGGATCATAATATTTGGCCATTAGCTGAAACAGTTTCAAGGTTTTAAACTGAGATCTGAGTCAGAAAATAAATATTTTTAAACACATAGCTGTAGCCTATATTTCTAATTTTAGCTCATGGCATCTTCATTTTGGGAACTCACCTGATGCAGAATTTTACACCACCTCACATGCTGATTTGTACTCTAGTTTTAGGTATGTATTTTAACAAGGAGCTACAAAACCCACTTGCTCCATGACTCAATTGTGATACCAAATACACCCGTTCATTAGAATTTATTTCAAAATTGAACATCACAGAAAATGTCAGATGAATTTTGCAGATAAGAGATCCATAAAAGGATACAGCTAGATGTAGATGTAACATGTAAAAGATGGCTACATGCCTTAATGATCTATGTGATCAACTGAAATTTTTCTCATTTTATTCAGAGCAACCCAGTTGCCAAATTTCTGATAGTACTTCCCACATACTGAAACCAAGGAGAAGGCAGAAAACTAAGTGCAGAACTTCCAAATAAGCCACAGATACTTTTCTGATTTTTTTCAGCTCAAAGGGAAACTAAAAATTCTAAATTAAAAAGAAAATGAAAAATGTGTTTTGACTTTTAAAATTCTAAAAACAAGCAGCTAGAAGATTAATTGTTTTTAGTTCTTCTGATTAGACTTTCAGTATTACTCTTGATCATGAAAAGGTATTTCCCCTCATGCTTGTTAGCTATGATACTCTAGGAAGAGCCACCTGAGCCGATGCATCACCTACAGTACACTAATTTCCTATGGTGCATTTGCACTCCATGAAGTCCTCACAGAGGAACAAAGAAGTCTGCCTTCCATCTCAGCTAGGTTTTGTTTTTTTTCCAATAACCTTCCAAAACCTTCAGTTATTGATCATTTAATTTTGTTCATTTTTTGATCCACATGACAGGTAGTTTTACCCAGAAAACAGAGATCTAACTTTGGTAATGTAAGTATAACTAAACAGATGGTTATTAAGTGATTTATAAAGATCTAAAATAAAAGATGGAAAAATTAAATATACCACATGGCATTCTGCAGCCTGTGAAGAAGGAAGAACTGTAGACTTTTGTCCCAAATCCTTTGAAGACATCTTTGAAGTGTCTGGAGAAATACTAGGTGGATGATCTTGGATTTCAGGCTCTGCTTTATTGTCAGGGGTGGGAACTATTTGAACGGAAAGAGATACTGTGTGTATCTCAGGCATGGGGTTACAAGCAGGTGAGATAGGCCTTTGTGAAAATACTGGCTCTTCAACAGGCTTGAGCTGTTGCTGTGAATTACAAGGAATGCTACTTGCTGGGTCACGTGTCCGGGTTAATTTCAGGGTAGATATCTTACGTTTTTGAGACTGTTGCCTTTGGCCTTGATGGAGAGTAGCACTAATGCCAGCTACTGTGCTTTTGTCTGCACTGGAGACTGAGGTCAGTGGTTTAATGATTTTTTGTGCATAGGACACACTTGTGTTAGATATCTCAGAAGACATTGTCTCCTGAACAGACGTCTCGCAAGAGTAATAGGCAGTATCTGTGGGGAGGTGTTTAGCTGGACCAGCAGTTACTGCCTGGAGATTAATTTCGTTCTCGTGATTAGTTACTCTTCCTTTCCGAAAGCTTTCTTTTCTAGGAGGTGGCAGAGGTGCCTTATTTGCCAAAAGCATCCACACACAGCAAAATAACATTGAAGGAGAAACAGAAAGAAAGTAAATGTTAGTAGAAGATATAGTTCAGTTTTACTTTTATATTTAAGTAGAGGAATTAGCAAATTGAAAGGCTTCATCTCAACATTGCTAAATTCAATGGACAACTAAATTGGATCCCACCACCATTTCCTGTGCGACTTCTGTTTAATAAGCCAGATGTTCTATTTGCTCAGACCAAAGTGGGATCAGAAAGGATCAGAAGGGAGCCCACAATAATTTGTTTTCTTTTAAAAAAACAATTATTACACTGAAAAAGAATTGTTGCTGTAAAAGCATTCAGGTATGTAAGTACTCCATGATCTTAGATAGCAAGCAATTATTCACAGATAACACACATATATGAAACACTGAGCCTCTTTAACTTTTGAATTAAAATAGTAACGGAGAGAGTATTAAAATTGGTGTGTTGATATTTTTTTGACAGATAAAGATGTTTCCAAGTGTGGGGGTGGTTTTTTTGTTTATGTTGTGCATGTTTTACTTGATTTGTTGTTGTTTGTTTCTGTTTTTAGTGTGCTGTAATTACATTTTTCTTCAAAACAGGCAGAAGCATTTTCTACCATATAATTAATACATTTTAATTCTCAGATATTTTGATGACTGGTGCATTTTTCCAAGTGTAATCTATTAATAAATACTCTTTGAAGTCTGTGAACACTCCTGGAAAGCTTTTACTAGTATGACCTCGTTTTATTTAGCTGTCTGTCTTGCTCATTGAAAGCAATTTCTGGTAATTAACCTGGGGGCATACAGCCTGTGTGGAGTATGCTTAATCTGTGCAGCAAACCGGTCCGTAGTGACCCATATGAACAGGTGATTCACACTATCTGCAAGACATCAGGACAATGTTTCATAGAGTTATCCCATCTATACGTGCTAACGCCCCCAGCGGTGGCATAGCATTAAACGTGTCCGGTTTTACCTGAGTTGGTGATTTTTTATCCTGTAGATTTGGCCGCACGCTCCTAAAACCTTTTGCTGAAAGAGATGAACTGCTAGCGTCTCCATTCAGTGTCTCTCTACTGCCATTATTGTAAGATCGCCAAGCTTTTGTAAATGGAAAAGAATGAAAACAATTTTTTTGGTGTGATTAGTACATCTCCACTGCTCTCAACATAGCAACCCAGCCACTAAACAAGCTACACAACTGACAATGATGCTGTTTTACCATGGAAGTTAAGAACATGGCTAAATATTCATCTTTAAAATTTAGAAAATTCAAGCATTGACAACAGTCCTGGTATTGGGCAGTTCTAGACATCTACAATGTTCATGCAGACTATGGATTTTAACCTTGAGTGTCCTTTTGAGATGCTGGTGCATCAGCCCCTGTATAAATCAGGCTCAAGTTTTTTCACTTTCAGATTATGTTCTTGAACTTCACGGCTGCATTGGATTTTGAAAAACATCCCAGCTCATGTAAAATTAGCTGGTCATGGCAGTTTCACAGAATTTCACCGCAGTCCCCAATTAGTTGTTCCACCAGTGTACTTTATTGCCAAATCTGAACGACACCTCTATTTTCCAACCAACCAAACATGTTTTTTTCTCTGTCCTCAGACCTGGAATGCCCTCAAAGCGTTGGCCAAACATAGAGGGAGATGTTGAAGACAAAATACTGTCAGAGGCTGGGAAAAGTACCACATTATGTGAGCAGGCTGCTAAGTGAAGGTGGGCAGAACTTGCAATCCTGGGTAAGGCTCTAAAAAGGAAATAGCAAGTACCACTAAATGGTGCCACAGTGATAAAGCTAAAGGTGGCAAATTAGCAGTCTGTTTTTTCCCACACAATTCATTTTTCTAACAACATATTCTGTGCTACAGGAAATAACTGCTTTCAAATGAGACCTGGATTTGAGGGCTTAAGCATTAACAATGAGGATTACAATTTCAGTGGTGCTTTCCTTGAAGAATGAGGAAGTATGGAGTAATGAAATCAAATAAATGGTTGATTGTTGTAATTCATCCACTTACATGGTATAAATATATACATAAATAATACAGTGTTTTATTTACCTGAATCTGGAGACTGAGAATCAGACCCTGAAAAAGAAATATCCAATATTAACTTGTGTTAGAAATAAATTAATTTTGTAAAAAACACACAGGGGTATTGATAAGAAGCAGTTCTGCCTGTCTACTGAGTATTTAGTATGTTTTAATTTTTATGAATATTTTTAGGTAAACAATCTTCATAAATGATTTTTTAAAGTTAATCTGGCTTCTGACAATCAGTTTACAACAACACTCAGAATCCTTTCCTTGAGAAGAGTTTTTAAATAAAACTTTTTTTTTAAAAAAAGGTTTGTAATAATCCAAACCTCTTTTTCATGCTTTGTTATCTTGAAAAAAATACAGAGGATGTGAGACCCAAAACACATATCAAGGGCAAAATTAATATATTAATTTACTAATTTACAAATAAAATTAATTTTTTCCTAAGTAGTCTTGTTTTTTTCTTTCATGAATGGCTACTAAACATAGGCAGAGAGAAATTAAGACCACTTTTTAAAAAGCATTGTAGAAGTAATACATCTGTCAGTGTAATAGAAAATAGTGCTACCCTTCTCCTTCTTGTAAAGTAATACGGCAGGAATGCATAACAGTATAAAAAAGCCATTCAGAAGTTGCATCTCAGTGTTAGTGGTTATACCTGAGGCCAATAGGTTTGGAGAACTCTGAACCCTCTTCACAGCTGTTAATGTGACAGACATTGCAGCACGTTTGCGAGCACACCCACCGCTATCTGGAAGCACAAAACAATACAGACAGCAGCCCCAGACAAAGGGAGCAAGCACATGCAACATATCAGTGTGAGGTATGCCAAACACATATGAAAATAAGCATGCAGTTAGGGAACTGCTGCAGAAATGTGTGAATTTGAAGGTTTGGCAGATTAGCAGAATACATAAAATTTCACAGGCTTTAAACAACAATAAACCTCATAGAGAATAAGTGAAGAAAGCTTTATTTAATACTTAATCCACTAGGGAAATATATACACTCTGTTACCTGAAAGACTGCTTAATTACAGCTAATTAGTAAAAGCAAACAAGTAATCAAGAAAAAGGCTTAAGCATTCCAGAATAATATTAATCAATAATCTGCACTGTAAAATAATTTCATTGTATGCATTAAAAGGACACCATTCATAAACTAAGCTCATGTTTGATCAGCTGACAAAGTACTTTTGTTCAGTTTTTTGGATCCTTTATGCTCACAAAACAAAATTACTGGTGAAGGCATACATTTCTTTTTCATTTGATGGAAAGAAATTGGCTGTCCTTCTTCCCCTTTTTTATCTAATGCAAGTTACAAAATTAAAAGAAATTTATATCTGGAACTGAATAACATTCTGAGGAAATGACTAGAAATCTAAAATTATTAAAAAAAATCAGGTATAGGAAAAAACCTTCCTTCTGGATCTTGCCCAACTCCTTTCTTTATTCTGCTTCTCTCTCACTGGAGCTGCCATTACATTTTATAAATACTTTCTTATTATTAGAAGACAGCTTTCCCACAACTTAGCTTTTTAGCAACTCCAGCATAGTTGTAAAAGAAAGTTAAAAAATATTCTTACCAATTATATTTAACTAGAATATTTTTCTGCTCTTCACTAAAATAATTATTTTAATTTTAACATTTGATGCTACTGAAATTTCATTTAGTACCTCAATGAAGTCAAGACCTACAAGTATGATAAATATCTTTTTTATTTCTGCAACCTATGACATGGAGTTTTATAAAATTAAGGTCTTAATGAAGACCTCCAAACTATTTGCAGAAAGTATTTTCTATAATAGCAGTCATTTGAGCCACAGAGTCATCTTTAACCCAAGCCTGCAAGAGAAAGTGAGCTTGTGATATTTCTCTGGTCATTCCAATATTCCCCTGCTACTTCAATATTTCCAATACTCCTCTGGCCACAGGCCCTGAAGGAAATGCATTAAGTAGTTGTTAACACTGGCAAACATCAGAGCCACTGCCTTAGATGTAATTGGTACCAAAGACTCATTGTCAATTCCAAGGCTCAAGGCAAAAGGCCAACTTATTTCAGCCAGCAGTAGCTGAAAGCAATACATTACCTGCCATTAATTATTGGCATTGTACATGTGAAACAAAGGCAGTGGCTATCAAATCTGCACATGTGTTTTGGCTTGCTTACATCAACATGGAATGGAAATGGTAATTAAAGTTACATTTTCCATTCTTGTGTTCCTTTTCCCCCACCATCGACATACATCAGAGGTAATTCCAATGAGATCTGATGATGTGTTGATACTGAGGTTCTGTTCTAATCTGAATATTGGCAGACTTTGAAAGCATACTACATTTAATATAAGCTAACAGGCAAAAAAATTTGTTATACTGTCACAGTTCTTATTCAAACAAAGTGGTAATTTATTTGTAATTTTTCAAGAGCTACCTTCCTGAATTTCATAATAGAGAAAGTGAAGACAACGAGAAACTGATTACAAACATTTAATTATTTTAACTTCAGGAAATTCTGCTTCAGTTTAGTTTTTAATGTAACTCAGCTGAGTCAGAGTTTTATACTTTGTGGACCCATAATCTAGAAAAGTGTTTTGGCTTCATATAAGAGAAATAAAACAGACTGCAACTGACTACATACAATATTTACCCCTATATATATAATTTATATATATTCACAAGTCTGTACCTGCATTATTTATCAGTATCTGTACAAAATAATGAGATCTAATCAGAATTCAGTTAAGACATAACCTCACATTTATATAATACTGAGTTGTGCAAAATTTCTAGTAGAATAGAAATGTGTGTGGGTAAGCACATATTGATGCATGATGGATTTCATCCTCTCATCTATGTTCAGGCCAGGCTCCCAGTAAGTGGAGTATTAAGAAACTGTAAGGGAGACTGAATTAATGATCTTCTGCTCATTTCAAACAAATGAGCAAACTATAAGCAATTAATATTACGCAGCTGTTACTTCAGGAACAAATGAGATTATATGAAACAATCTATACAAAATGTTTGTGTATATAAAAGATACGTGCATGAATACGTACACACACACACTTACAATTCCTTTGACCTGAAAAATTCTTCAGGAAGGAGTCCTGTCTTCACTAGGAATTGCTTTCACATTGAAGTAAAGGAGACCCAAATCAGCTAAGTTCTGCAGGCAGTGCTAGAATATGAAGTTGGGCAATAGCTCACAAAACAGCTGCCTAAAATTAATTGCAGCTTCTTTTTCTCTCCCTCTCTTAACTGTTTCCACATTTAACCCTTTCCCCTAAGTTCATAGCCCCAAGAGGTGCTTCCGCTAGTGACAGCATCACCCTAAGTGAGCTGTATCTGTCTTTGACAAATAATCTACTGGCTGGGTCCTGCCCCAAAGCAAGATGGAGATGATTCAAAACACCATAATTTCGTTTTTTCTTAAAAACACTATTTCAGAGAGTCAGTAAAAGCAGTGGCATAAACAAAGGGGAAAAAGATGAAAGGATGGTGACCTTGTGTGAAGAGGCGAGAGACAGGAGCCAGGGGCAAGAAATTTTTAATAAGCTCTTAAAGCTTACTAAAGAAAAGAGAAATTACATCCAAACATCAGGTTTGCTGATTATTATTCAATTTGCTGTACTTGTGAATGGTATCATTTTTCCTTTTGTCTGCACAGTGAATTCAGTTTTAGAAGTCTTTAAACCAGGGCTTCTTACTCCTCATTTGCATTCTGACCTTTTGAGCAAATATATAGTGCTGGGTCCAACCGTCCAAGACAGACAAAGCTGCTGCCTCTCTATGTCCCCAGGTCCAGCCAGGAGGGGGACTGGAAATGCGTCCCCAGCAGACAGATGTCAACACCACAGCCATACATGGCTGGACACACAGCTCCAAACACACTAACACGGCACAATGGCCTCACCACCCTCCCCTCCCTGGCTGAAGGTCCACTAAGGAAAATTGCTCACGTGGACAGAGTGGATCCTTCTAGCAACTGGGCTCAAACATCGAGTCTGCCACTCATTCCATGCCAGGCTCTCCTGTGACAGCCCTGGGAAGGCCCTGGACAAGGGAGACCCTTTGTTCCTTGGGTCTCCTCAATTTGTGTTCTTGTCTCCCTTGTGTCCCTGTGCTCTTCCAGGCTTACAGAGATAGACAGGCCTTTGATGGCTCCTGTGATGGGCCTGCGAGCATCCTGGCATGGCAGGCTATTACCTGGGCTTCCTCGCCTTCCACTCTTTCTCTGAATTCTTTTTTGGATGTGCTGACCAGTTATTTACCACATAATCTACACTGACAGGTAAAGCTATTATTTGGTTCTTTCATGCTGCTAAAAAGTAAACTTTTAGTAGAATGCCTGGAGCTCAAGCCCACCTAATTTACTTCAGTGATCTAAAAAAAGTGGCTTAACAATCTGTTCAGGAACTCTGAACGGACCCAAGAAATTATGTTCTTGTCTCCCAGAAAAAAATGTAAGAGAATAGTCCATGTAATGACTTCCATTAATAATTTTAACAAACAGATAATATTTGCAGTCTTCCAGAACTGCATACTTTTCACTCTTGGCTGTTCTTTATGTGCTTCATCTAATGCAAACAGCTAACTTGTTTAATAACTTTAAAATCAGATGCATTTATCAAGAATGATCTGTGTGAAATTCAACCAAAATATTTACAAATGGACACTAAGAATCAGTTTTAACCACTAACTTAAATCCATTTATTATTCCTCAATGCAATTAGCTCTCCTCTGACATGACCTATGCATGCACATACGTATAATGAACAATAAGGACATTGTGAGTTTCAGGGCAGCTCATGTTTTCTGTGAGTTAGTTAATCAAGCAACCAAGTTAATGATGCTCATCAACCTGTAAAATACCTGAAGACTTATAGAAGAAACCCCCTAAATATAGCTTAAAATATTATTCTGTTGATGATTGCTTAGTCTGGGTTTAAAAACACACACACATTCTATGAGACTACTATTTTAAAATTATGACAACATTTGAACTCCAAAAGGAAGCATGAGCCAAAGTACCCTTGATACTTCTGAAAAACCTCCTCTATATCTTACCTCTGTTTCTTTGCTTTCGCAAAAATGTTTCATTGCCTTATGCTGCTGAATATTCCTTCCTAACATGTGGTACAGAATTAACATCAAATGCTGAAAAATCCCTCCCATATATGGTAGAGTACTGCAAACCAAAGCTCCTCAAAACATTTTCTCTGTAGACAAAAATATCTTCCGGAGGGTTTGCTGAGACAGACTGCCAAGTCTGCAGCCACAGGGAACGCTGGATTAGAGGAGCCCAGTCTTAGCAGTAGATTTACTTTTTATTTATAAAGCTGTATATATATTAGCTTTGCCACTCCACCAACTACTGGCATCAAACTAGAGAGCTCATTTATCTGCAGGACTCATTAATGAAACACATAGCTTAAAAACAAACTAGTGGCGAACCAATAGCATCTGATAACCTTCAATTGCACCATGTACAAATTTCTGTTATAAAGCAGTGAAATAAAAACCAATACCAACCCAAAACAAAGCTGTAGCACTCATGTTCAAAAGACAGTGTAGTGCAGAAAGAAAAAATAAAAAAAAAGGAAAAAAGGGGAAAGAAGGATATAGCTAGACCAGAACAGCACACAGAACATCTTCCAGCTGAGTCACTCTCTTAATGAAGTAATGCTTTAGAGATGGGTGCAAGGATAGGTGCAAGATGTCCACTTTTACACCATACTCACAGGTTTTTAATGGTTTTTTACAGTCAGAAAACAATCTACATTAATAGAACTGGTAAGAAATGCCACATTTTCGGTCAATACCTTCCCTTCATTGCAGCTGATAACATGCACATTAACATCAAGTATAAAGAAGATGAAAAAATGTTTTCACTGTCCAAGTGCAGAATAGATTAAAGTTCAACCTAAAATCATGGACTCTTTAAGGAACTGGAGAGGATTTCAGGTGTGTTCATGTCTTTAAGGTCTATTTTTAAGACTATTGTGTGATCAGAAGATTCTAAATCCCCAAGAGAAGTCATTTAGTTGCAGATTATTTAAATCTTATGTCTTCTCTCTTGAGAATTCATAACTTACAACAAAAATCTTAGTACAATATCAAATACAGTCATAGTTCAGGGCTCTGATAGCACAAACTGGCAATTTACCTCTTTATTCACATTTTTTGAAGCAGGAGCTATAAAATTACCTCTGTCATATGATTTTAATTTATATGATGGCAATGCACAATGTAATTATAGTATGATGATTAGCAAAGTTATGTCTGAAATTACAGTTCTATGAAATAAGTAATATTTTAGTACTACTTTAATTATGCAGACTAATACATTTAGGAAAGACATCTTCATTAAAAATTAGAGAGGACAGGACAAATTTAAAATAGTACTTTTATAAATGAAAAATACACACACCACCCTGGTCAGCATTTGAAAAACAATTAAGAACAACCAAAACTTTGGGGAACAAAAGTACACACTCAAATGAGGAAGTTAATTTCTCCTGCTTATTCTATTTATAAACGTAGTGGTTCAAGTGAGCCAATGTATTTTAACTTTGTACTAAAAGATATGCTTAAAAAATAGATCCTACTGAGTTCCAGTTGTCTGAGACAACAGGAAGCCATGAAGCCGGATTAATACAGTGATCTAGATAATGGCACCTATACCACAGAAAAGTTAATCCCTTTGATTTAGAGCATGCTGATGAAATTCAGACTTCAAAGGTAGTTCTGGTCCTCGGGTCCCACATATCATGTCATGGTGGAACACTGAGGTCAATGATAAAGCCACTGCTTTGGAAAGGATGGATAAGTCTATCTTTGCACCACAGTTAATCTGCAAACCAGACAGTTCACCTATGGAGTCTAAAAGAGCTGTCTGCAGCTGAAAATTTACACCTGAGTGAAGCCAGGATTTCAGCAGTCTGCTTTCAAGGGGTCTATTCCCTCTCCCAGCACAAAGAGCAGCACTGTCTTATTGGCTTCAGAAGTTCAGGAGCAAATATTAGTACCCTACCATAGATCTTGAAGATAACTTTCTATAGAGTACTTAATTTGGTCAATAAATCTGTTACAGCAACTTGAGAGAAAACACAAAGCACTGTAAGTAGAACATATCCTCAAGAATATCCTCAGCTGATATGCAAGTGCAACTTATAATACAGGGCAGTGTTTATATGCCCCCTAATTTAGTGAGAGTAAAGAATGGAAATAAAGGATTTTTAAAGCATGTGCATTTTCTTAGGAAAATGTGATACTTTAACAACACTTTTCCATCACTGTTATATCCTCATACTATGTATTTTCACATAAAACATACACACACACAAAACTGATACTATTAAATTAAGCACAGAAGGCTAAACATGCACTTTTATTTTGTGTATCCATATATGTCCATACATAGAAAAACATGTATGTAAATTTTATATATGGAATACAGATGAACATAAGCAGGCATACTATTAAAGTATCTTGCTTATTTTGAGTTCAGCACCAACTAAAGTACAATTTGTTTATGAAAATTCTAATAAGTTTGGGATCTTCTCTGCTCACAAAACAACACATAAAAAAATCTCACAGATGCAGCATACCTGTGTTCATTTTGACACTGGAGGTTTTGCTATAAAAGTCTTCAGATTTCCTGCGGAAAATAAAATGATCTATTAATTTGCACAGGACAAGAATGTGTGGTACAAAATGGCAGCAGGGTTTTTTGGAGGGGTGGAGAATCACTGTGATACAAATGGCAGTCCTATTTTAACACTGCTTTAATTAAACTGGTATTGCTTGTCCTTCCAAAGTTAAAGATGAGCTGTCACTTCCATTATAAGTCACCTTATCTTCAAGTATTTAGTAGTTTTCTTGTAAATATTTACTCTAGGATAAAAAAAACTAGAGATTAACTTCTGGTCTTGAAACTATAAACTAAGAATATTTTCCATACAGGAATGTGGAAATATTTTTAAAAGCTGCTTATAAGGTTTATTCACTCCTTTGCACAAACTAGAAGATGTAAAGAGTAGTTCTCTCCAAATATTTTCTAAGCAGCCAAAGTTACCAAGTCTTTTTCAGTGTTTTATAAGCAGATTGGTTGTTTTCATCCAGTGATTTAATATGTCTCCCCAGACAACACTGACATTCTTAATGTTGTTTGATGTATTTCCATGCACAGAATCAGGCCGTGTCTTGGCACTCACAGGAATCCTTACCAAAACTCCTAATGGAATCACCAGGTAGCAAATCAGGTCACTATACAGCAACACACTTTTTAAAGATAGTAACTTGCACCAAAATAATGTAAAGCGCACACGAAGGTTGATTCAATTTAGATACCCCAACTCTATACAGCACTTACAAACAAACAAATAGTAAAATGCAACAAGTCAAACTACAACTGCAGAAAACTCAAAACATGCTATATTAACAGCCAATTTTAACCTGACGTCATGGGACAAAGCAGATGCTGTTTTTCCACCTACTGACAGTTTATGTCACTTTATCTCAGAATAAAGTGGCATCTGTATACTAGCCAGTCTTAGCTGTATTGTTACTTATACACTGTCCAATATAACCTGCTTTAGCAAATGGGCAGACACACTAGAGGCCAAATACTGAGGGCTGAAAAAAAAAAGAAAAAAATTAATTCTCCCACTGCATTATTCCCACATCAAGTCCAAGATAAAACAAAGGGAAAATCAGATTTTGTAATGTAATACAGCTTCAAAAAAATTAATTAAAAATATAAATTGCCTGGCTATGTTGGAGTAAGCTGGAAGGTACACATGAGGGATCATTTTTATGATGGGAGACTAAAGGCACTAATTAACACAAGTAAACAAAATATCAAAACAGAATTCCAGTTTCGGTTCAACTCAACAGGAACCCTGAACTAAATGCACCTCTGAGGTAACATATATTTCCGTATTCCCTTGTATTCATAACAAGGCCAGACGTTCCACTGCTCAAAAAAATTACTGTTTTTCAGAAACTATCTGATCACTGCTGCTATTATTCAGTCAGTTTTGTGACAAATAAAGACATATGTTAAATTTCTTGAGAACAATGGAAATAAATAACTGGCAGTGAATGAAGTTTTATAATATTATTTTTATGCTGCAGCTATCAGCAAACTACTGTTGTGAATTTTAAAAAGATCTTATAAAAATTAAGACTTTTTTTATTTTGTATATATGGTCTCTGACTGAAATTTTTCATTTCTTTAACTGCTACAGAATGTTCTTACAGCCTCAAATTCCCACTGCATTTTCAGACTGCTAGAGGAGACACCATTTCCAAGCCTTCTTTTAGCTTGGAACTGAATCACTGACTGTATCACATATAAGATACAAAATGCAACATGATATTTATTTTCAGACCAAACAAGTACAGGACTCTTGGAACATTGCAGAGCCAAAATGATTTCTAGCAGGTGGCTTCGATATATTTACCCAAAGCATGAGTAACTCTTAATCTAAGTTTTAACAGACAAAACTCAGTTTCAGCACTACAGCTTTGTACTTCTAACAACTTCAATCTGAACAGTTTAGGCTACATTGCTGATCATACTCATACGAATCACTAATGTTTCCACTTTAATCTAATTTTGCTGAAAAACAACTTAATCTTGCATACCTAAAAGATATGCATGTAAATAAGGCAATCCAAATCTCACGCATGCAAACAGCAGGCCTTGTATTTAATACTAAAATTATTTTGAATTCTGTGCTTCCAAGGAGCTAAAGCACCATTCAAATACTTGATGATACTGGGGTAGAAGCCAAATGAATGCAATGAAATTAAATGCCATATGCCTGAAATTATTTTATTCAACATTGTTTCAATCAGTCTTTAAGATCCTTGCTTCAAGAAGGAAGTGGTGGGGGGGAAGAACAGGGAGCAAAGGGCTGGTTTTGTTTTCAAAACCTTCAGCTCCTTAATTTCCTCCTGAAAATTGTTCTTTGGTAATAGGTCTGCCCCTGACAGAGGCGAGATGAAGGTTCCACTGGAAGCATCAGGCACTTTAGTGCCAAAATGTCCACCCAGTGATCAGCTGAGATACTCAGCTCTCAGACAGCTAATGCTGTGACAGAACAAAGGCCCGCAAGGATTGTGTGAACACAAAGCACTGCTGCGATGCATGATTTTCAAAATCAGTCCCCTAGATCGGGCAAGTCTTCCACTCAGCTCACACCTGATCTTTGATGCTGAGGTAGAAGAACACTAAGTCTAAGCACAGTAGCAGTCCTAACTTTTGCAGAGGGAAGTCCTGGATTAATTTTCATGGCATTCCTCTATAGTTAGCTTCATCTGGAAGAGCTAATGCAGCAGGAAATGAATGACTTTGCTAATGCACAAAAATGGGTCTGTTGGGTTGCATACACCATTGCTACATTCAGTTTCACTAAATACATATCCTTCATTAACAGTTCAGAAATTCTTTGCATTGCAAGAGGTTACTGAACAGACTTGTGGGAATCTCATTGACATCTGCCCTATTTTATCCAAGAGACCCTGATATCTACTTGTAGTCACTTCTGTTCCTGGTAAGTTCTGAAGCGTGGGGTGCTGAAAGAAAACATTCTGACACCCCTTCTGTTCCACATTCATATGGAGCTATAAAAAGGGCTAGTGAGAAGTCAAGGAAGGTTTCCCCACCCTCAGTTTATTCATGAATCAAGATGGATGACTTTACTGTTAGGGATTTAATTCCATTCTTTGTCAGATCTTCAAGCACCTATGGACATTAAGGCAGAAGAACCATTTAGACACAGTTGTGCACAGTGTGCTCTCAGATGACCTTCCCTGAGCAGGAAGGTTGGACCAGGCAACCCAACGTGGTCCTTTTCAACTTTAGCAATTCTGTGATTCTAAATTACCTGTTATTTATTCTTTGCCATTTCACAAAAGATACTATAAAAAGCAGATTTAAAATGTAATTTTCTGATGGAGTATTTATATTAATTCTAAATCTAATTCTAATATTTGCTCTTTATTGTTACTATCCTTTGTATTGAATTCTACTCCAAGGACCTTTGGTGAGATGAGCAGTTGATTTAGAACATGGAGTGCAGATGGATCAACAGCAGGATAGACGTGTGTGTCTGGCTGGAAAACTACAGATTTTCATTTTCTTAGATAGAGAGCAGTTCCCAGATATTTGGAGAGGACAGGAACCTTCCTGACTTACATTAGAAGGAGTGTCAAACTTCCATTAATGTTGTTTGCCAGTTTCACTGTTAGAGCTTGAGAGAGTAATCTACTCAAGAAAATATCTGCAAAGTTAAGAAACCAAATCAGTTGTGAGTTTACTACAAGGATTGTTTATTCAGTCAGTTTAAACATTGCAGTTGATCTACAAACATGCATTTATTACCAGGCAGGATCCTATTTTGCATGTGGCACTATATTCTTTTAAGGCACATCATCAAGACTCTGCACAGCATTCCTGCTCTGCAACAAGTCACTATACTTCATATACCAACTCATACATGCAGTGATGGAGGGTAAAAAAAAGTATGAAGTATTAGTTCTGAAAGTACAGTGAAACTGACTATTTTATTTCTCTCCCTATTTAAAAGAAATTCTTTCAGGTGTTTACTGTTAGCAGGAAAACTATGGCAATGAGAATGCAATGAAAACTTGATAAACCCCAAATGTTTAGATTGTGACAACAACACTCACATAAAGAAACAGTTGTCCTGAAACTTCCTTGCCAGAAGAAGTCTCTCCTGCTGAGCCTATAAGCAGGTAGAAAGCTTATATGCAAATATATTGTTTGTATGAAAAAATTTTTGATGGAGCACAGGTAGATAGATGATGCTTATAATGAAAATGGTTGCCCCATGTTTCAGTTTTGTTAACATGCAACAAGAAGTCCCCAAAATGGCAGGGGATCTTTACTAAGATCCAACACAGTAAAGCATATGCTGAGCATGTGCTTTAGTATATGCTTTGAGAAAGCCCCACAGAACTATTTCTATGCTTTAAGTTAAATACAAACATAAATACTGTTTTCCACTGTTCACACTGCCTCAACCCTATAAGCAGCCGAATACTCAGAAGCTAGAACTCTAGTTCTAATTAAAGTGTTTTCAGATAGATAATCAAAGAGAAAAACATACACAGACAATTGACATCACAGTTTCTGTAATTTTAAGTTTTTCTTAAAAGAAGAGATCCTCACTCTATGTGAAAAACCATTGTATATATTACTCATGTACATTATCTGAAATGTACTGATCAGGTCATTAAACAACTGGGATGGTGAATAATTTGTACTTGGTCATAAACTTCTATCGGAACACAAGAGATAAGTCACATTGTACTCAGCAGCAGTAAGTGCGTGACCAGAGAGATCTCTACAGACAAAAGCTCTGTTTCCTGGATCATCTGCAGTACTATGAAAACTATCTTAGGCTGATATCTAACTTACAGCAGATCAGATATTTGAGCCTATTTCCTCAGCAAATACAATACTAACATTGTTATTCAGTGTACTGCTAAGACTTCTTGTTGGAAAATCCAAGTGGTTCTAGCTCCTATGTACAAATGTTCAGAGTACCAGATACGGGGAAAACAATCACAGGAATCTATGGCTGATT